CCAATGAACTCATCTATTCTTGCTTCATATAAGGGCACAGAAGATTGCAATTCTTTATGAATACCATCATCACAAACAGTGCTGATAAAATGGCTTCCACAGAATCTCTCATATTTGCAGAGGTGGAATCTGGCTCACTTGTCTTCGGTGCTATGTCCTGGCTTTTGTTTCCCTTGTTTCTATTTTCTTGGGATTTTTTCTTCCCTTTCCGGCTCTTGGGGGAGCTCCGCTTGCTCCGGGCGCTGGCTCGCTCTTCCTCAATCGCAGCTGCTATCTCGGGGTTGTCTTCCCCATTGTACCAGACCAGGAGCTCCTCGCCCGGCGCGATTGGCCCACAGAATGCTTAATCCAGAAGAATACAGTTAGACGATCACCAGTAAGGAATCTGAAAGGCCTCATGAACACTTGAGTAAATATCAAAGGTCAGGACTGGGGGAGGTCTTTAAAGTTTTATAGTAAATGGCTCTGTTGATTTCCAGTGGAAACAAATTTTGCTCCTCTCCTGAGCAAGCCCAGTTCACAAATCGCAGCCAGTTCCCCTTCTCCGGATCAGTGGCATCGATGCACATCCATCCCAAATTTGGGTAATATACCTCCCACATGTATACATTATTCTTAACCTGAGATCTTTTTTTCTTATCACCAACAAATGGCCCAAACTTTTTGCCTTTTAAAATTGGTTTAGTGGCCCAGACACCGATCCGGGTCTTGTCAACAGCTGATGGGAACAGCCTCACTTCCTCCGGAAGTCCTCGCAGCACGTGTTCAGGTACCTCAGCTAGGGTCTCAGCAGCTGCCAAAGGCTCAGGAGCGTTCCGCGCCCGCCGCGCCCCGCGCCTCAACGAGCCGAGAGCCGCCGCCGCCACTCCGCCCGCCCCGGAGCCCGCGCCTCACCGCCGCCATCTTGGCCCCAACCGGAAGACACACATTTTCTTTATACATTCATCCATTGATGAACACCTAGTCTGGTTCATAGTTTGACTATTGTGAATTGTGCTGCTATTTCTTTACTGTCCAAACAAATAGATCTTGGTGCACTTATATTATAATGGAAAACATCCAAACTAATAGCTGAAAACAAGTTTACTCCAAAGTTAGTACATATCACAGCTGGTAAATCTGCTAGAAGTTCTGAGCTTCATTAAAATTAGAGAGTCCTCTATCTGTTGTGTGGGTGGTAAAAATTTGCTCCCATTCTATAAGCTCTCTCTTCACCTAACTGATTGTTTCTTTTGCTGAGAAAAAGATTTCCATTTTGAATCCATTCCACTTATTGATACTTGATTTTATTTCTTGTGCTATAGGAGTCTTATTAAGGAAGTCAGGGCTTAATCTAACATGATGAAGATTTGGGCCTACTTTTTCTTCTATTAGGTGCAGGGTCTCTGGTCTAATTCCTAGGTCCTAGT